CCTGCCTTGGATTTCAACGCGGTATTAATAATCAGTTTACTCCTTACTATATCCGATGCTTCTCTCCATGCTGTACTGGTGCATATCACCTGCAACAGATTGAATTTGTTAGCAAAACTTAATCACTGAGTAATTACATAGCAGTAATCTGTTCTTTCTCTAGCATGATTAAGGCATAAACATTAACTTCTCAAGATTCATTATTTATATAATATGCACATGTATAGCCAGCGCCATTAGTCACCCCATTCAATCCGAATTTGGCCAGTGCCTACATTTAATACACTCTAAGTTCATTAGGCCTGTGTCTTTCATCGAAATACTATTATCATAATTTGCACCCTCTGCAAGTGCCAATAAAATTACAAGATATTACATGGTCTTGAGCTAGGACTCATCTTAACATTCCCCTTCTATTAGTATGCACATGAAAAATCCATGCGTAGGGCCATGCTTTACCCACTAAATCTGTCCGATCCTAGCAGTACTTTTGTGTTTTGACCATGTTTTTTAGCTTACCACGAAAGAACTGTTGCTCCGGATCCTCGCACTTTGTCCTTTTTTATTTCTGTTGCACTTTATTGGTTTCAGTTTTCCGCCTACGACCCGCTAATTCTATTGCCTTGCGAAGGCGCTTCTCGTCTTCAGAATTCGAGGCTAGGTCATCCGACTCATATTCTTCTACAACTCTCCAGGCATCTTTACTCCTGTCTGCGATTTTTATTAGCTTTTGGCGCCGATGACTTAGAGCTTTAGCTTCGTCAACTAGGTTTGCTACACGCTCTTTTTTATTCTGCTCGTTCGCTTTCGAAATATCTGTAAGAATTGCTTCGAGCTTGGCGTTGATTTCATATTGCTTTTGGTTTCCTTTGAACTTCAGCTTTATAACGTCCTTTTCGGCTTTCCCTTTTGATTAAATTTGCTTGCTTTTTTCCTCAATCTCATCTTCTAGGTAGGATTTGAACATTGGGAATACCTATATTGTTGTCTTCTGCTTCGGCCATATTGCGTGTTCGCACTGTGGGACTGTTAGTGAGAGAGCTGGACTGATGTTTTCCTGCCCCATTTATACTGTCCTTGACAAGTAGATTGCCCCTTAGGGGCAATGTGCTTGAACTCCTTACAATTATCATTGTTTCGTACATACCAGCAGAAAATAATTTACATTATTTCATTCTTATACTTAGTCGATCGGTTTAGTGGCGTAACTCCTATGGGTTCAGACCGTGGGGGCCCCCAACGCCAAAGAGCCGAACGGAGCCCCCATGCAGGCTCAGGCTGTAGAGCAAAAACATTGGCCAAAGAGGCCTCTGATATGTTACAATGTCATTTTCTGACCATCAGAATTCTGTAAATCTATCCCCCCAAAGACCAGGAAATGGCATTTCGGAGACTCCAGATTCAAAAATTTTCCAGGTGAGCCTGCACATACGGCGCTTAACTCGTGCCTTTGGCACTTCTACTAGGGGGGAGGGGGGGGGCTTCGAAAATTTTGCCCCTATAAATATAACGTTACGCCACTGAGTCAGTTCGAAGCATTATCTTGAACAAGGATAAAAGTGTATATATATATACTATATACGTATATTTACAGTAAAGAAGGTGATAATATATTATAAACTATTATATATTAATTATTGAGCTAATGAGTAATGGACATAATCGTAATTTACTACTTTACACCTAAATTAAGATTCAGACTAGATTGTTTTATTTTACCATTTTCAAAAGTTCATATATAGTAAAATATTAAGTCTAAACATTCCATTTTTGTACTTTCTCGCCTGACACCAAATAACAACTTTGATGTGCTTTATCACAATGTCATTCACAACCTTGGTTTTAGAAGATTGCACTCATGGTTAAAAATGGATTTAAGATCATGCACATTGTACTATAACTTTTCAAGTGCCTCCAAAACGCTGGAAATGCCATTTCAGTGTACCAATATTAAACAAAATTTCGGGTAGCATACCACCGGACCTTCCTAATTTGAAGTCCGTCCCCCCCACCTTTTTGGGATGGATTGATGCCCTTGCATGCACCTTCCCTCAAAATCAGGCAATGCCTCAGTTTGAGACCAACGTTGTGGTGGGTACGTCAGACTCCGTGTTTCACATATTATACGGCCGACTCCATGTTTTTGCGTATATTCTCAGACATAAGACTCCGTGTCCTCCATAATTTTCTCTGACATCAGACTCTTATAACTTCGTGTTTACCTTGTTTTTTTTATGACTCCGACACTCCGGCTCCGGGACCCCGTCTCCATCTTTCTATGTTACGCCTACTTTCTGCCAAGGTCCCCGCGTCCTAAACTGTTCAGAACCCTCTTGACCTGGCCATGCAAAGCACTGATGAGGCGAAGGCACGCAATTGCTTCGCACGGGATAGCTAGTATATAGTTTCTATAAAATCAATTTCGTATACAAATGCAGAGACAGTGCGCTCACTATGGATTCACGATTTTGGTATTTACATACTTTCGCGGCACCATGCTATTCGTATTGTTCTGTATTGAACTTATTCTATCGGATTTAAACAAACCTCGATCGAGAATGTTCTTAATCATGTTGACAGTTTTACCAACTACAGTGTCAAGAAATGTTTATCTGGTTTCAGATGTGATAACTTGAGAGCATCATACCTGTGGTAAGTGTTTGAAACGTTATTTGGTT